CTGTAATCCTAAAACAAATTGGAATGCCTCACAGTTTTTAACATGATCAAATATAACACTATCAGATCGTGAAGAATGTTCTTTAAGTCTAGTTATTAAGCACCTATCTGTCTTACCAATATAATCACTATTGCAGCCTGGACAATAATAAATAATTTTATTTAATAATCTTTGGTGCTGGGGGAATTTTTTGAGACAATTTTCATAGCCAGGGGCAGAAAGATTTTTTTTTCCAGGCCTGCTTTCAATATGTTTTTTTTTTCTAATATATGATTGGGAGTCTTATCAATTTTAATAATTAATAAATAATTTTATTTTACAGAGAATTGGTTGGAACAGATTGTGCTATCATCCATGAGATATATGACAATGGACATGCTCAGGAGCAGTTTGAACTTGAACTTGAACAAGCACTAGAGGCTCAGAAAAGCATCATTATTATAGAACCATCACATATAGGTGACGAAACAGCAAGATGGATTATAGTCGGAAATTGTCTCCATAAGATGGCAGTGTTAGCTGGTGTGACCTCTTTAACGTCACCTCTCCTTTTACCAAGGAATGTTTCAAATTTTGTATGTATTCCAATGGGTGCAATCAGCATGGCGTGTGCTCTGCTTTATGGCGTTTCCTGGCAATTCGATCCGTGCTGTAAATACCAAGTTGAGTACGACACCCGGAAGTTATCCAAGCTGCCGCTTCATACACTATCAACATCGTCACCCGTTGTGTTAGTACGCAAAGATGATAAATATCGAAAAGTATTACACAATGTAATTTCTGGAATGACCTGCATCTATTTAGGCTACAAATTCTACCATTGGTTTCTACAATGAGACTCAGGATAAAAAATTAAATTACAAATTTAAACAGTATTTTATGCATTCAAATGATGGTGTAAATTGATTTATGTTCGCGACCACTCATTTTACTTGTGCTGTAATAGCGACTGTCTTCCAAGTTGAAATTACGGAGATTTGTATGCGTACATAGTACATACTAATAGTTTTACGAGTTGTCAGTTTCATTTATCCCATGCATCAAGTGACTAGACCTGTACAGCTTGGTGGTTTAGAAGATGCTTGCCTTCCAATCTTAAGGAGCTGGTTCAAATCTGTCAAAACAATGAATGGAAAAACTCCACTTCTGAAGCCTGCTAAAAACACTTGGTTTACTGGGCATCATTCATTATTGCCCAAGGGCAAGTCACTTGAATAAGAATAAAAATATATAAATATAACGGTCATCCTCAATGGAAGTGCAGATAGACATTTGTAGGATGGCATATCAGAAGTGACTGTTATGATTGTTAAAATTTTTAAAAATATTCAAATTAAGTGCTGTGGTTGCTAGTGATTCTAAATAAAAGCAACATGGTTAAATCTGATATTTTTTAACAAGATTACAATCTATAGAAATGACTATCAATTGGTATTTGGGCAGTTTATTTTTACTTATAAATAATTTATCAATTAACCACCTAATATGTGTGAGACAAATTAAGTTGTGTGTTGGAGTTCAATAAACAACTTCATTTATTATGATGATTGGTCTGATAAATATTTTTTGTTGTTATAGCGAGAAAACAACTCAGTTCCTTTTCCGTTCAAATTCCAAAATCAATTTTATTCCAGCAAAACCAGCATACAATTATTATTTACTTATAAATTACAATTAACAAATTAAATTACAATACTGTACAACGATTAAAATTGTTAATGCAAGGAAGTATTAAATAGACCATATTGGTTAAAGTTATGGTTTTAAAAAAATAACCAAAGGTTTAAGAACAGACCAGGAGCTGAGGTTTGTGTCACTGTCAACTGGCCTTTTATGTATGCCGCCACCTATCGTCTAGTTTATACAGGTACTCTTTGCCTATTCCATGGGTGCTGTGATCGTCAATATACAAACTGCAATCGATAACGCGGATACTACAATAATTATAATATAATTCAAGAAAAATACCTTTATACTTGTTTAATAATAAAGAGTAACCATTTTGTACAAATGTTCATTCAGCGCCATCGAACATGTGATGAATGTTGCGCTATAAGTTAGCGATTGATTGATTGATCGTCCTTGACGACTTCATTCCTAGAATTTGCTCAAATTACGAACTTTGGCCCAATGTTGGAAAGAAGGCATTTGAACACGAATAAAATTACTCATCGACCTTTCGAAGTGTGTGTTATTATACTCATCTGTCACAATTGCACAATTTGCCAGGACGAAAATTATTTAAAAAAAAAAAAAATCATGGCATCGTAAGTCAAAATATGCTTAGCATAGATTAACTTTAATAGCCACAAAGAAAATCACAAAACTTGCTTTTTTTTGTTTAAGAAACCTACATAGGCATACCTGTGCCGCCGTAAAGCATGGTGTATTGAGCGCCATTCATTACAAATGTTTCGAGTTGAATCTTCAACCAATCATCAAGAAAGTACAAAGCAATTGTGTTTATAAGATCTTTGCATCATAACATGCAGCTAATTGAGCTATTAGTTAAATTGCTGACAGAGGGCGCACTTGCACAACAACCAGTCCACCACTTGCGCATCAAAGCATCAAAGAGAGATCAAAAACCAAAACAAACTTTTCACTGAATATATTGAGCTTTCAAAACGGGAAAGAAGAAAGCTACCATATAGCTAGCAATTCATAATTTAGTATAAAAGGAATGAGTGACGAAGCAGTACAGGCAACGAATGATGATGCGTCGATGTGCAAACGGTAGGTTTCAGGCCTCTGCTACTAGTATGTTACTACTTACACTAGGCCTAGGCCCTAGGCCTAGTTTAGTTAGGTGGAAGGTAGCCTGCTGGTTCGGACAGAGGTAGGCCTTCTATAGGTTTGCCGATGGGGAGGGGCTGGGCTAGGTAGACCATAGATCTAGACCTTGGAGATCAGTAGGCTTGTGCATAGCAAACTATATATATAGAGAGAGAGACATGACTTCAACTAGGCCTACCCTATGTATGGTTATGCTATCTTATAATTATATATAACCTCAACTCCAGTCTTGCCTTGCTAGGCCTATCTTCTTCTTTTATTACTTAAATGTTGGGTTAGGGTGGAGTATCTAAAAAGTGCAACCATTAGAACCCCATTTTCAATGAATGCCAGTCAAGTTTCCCCCTTGTAAAGTCGCCCTCTACAAAGTCGCCCTCTACAAAGACCTGTCTCTTATACACATCTAGATGTGTATAAGAGACAGCCTTAAGACTGGGGGGTTCCGCCCACCTCCGACAACCAATATTACATCCCTGCTGTGGGTACCAGCAAGAGCTAGCTAGCTAGGTCGATAATATACAAAGGGTTGAGTGAAAACTTTTTGATTTTTTGAATGCTAGGCCTATATATAATCATGTTCGAAGGTTAATTAATGATAATCAATATTGGTCAAGGGGGCAACTTTGTTAGGGGACGATTTGGTTAGGGGCGACTTTGTAGTGGGGTGACTTGACAAGGGGAGGGGGGCAACTTGACTGGATCCCTTTTCAATTAGTTTCATGTCAATTAATATTAATGCATGAATTGATTTATTATTATGGTCGGGTTTTGAGTTGAGTACACTGTTTTTATTATTATAAGATATAGAAAACAAAGGAGTCATTATTTTCTGAAATTTTTGAAGGAAATAATTGCTCCTAATGCACTTGTCAATTGTAGTCCCGGACCCAGCCCTGCCGGGGACTTCTTGTTTAACAGAACTGTCGGACGTTGCAAGATTTTTTAGGACCGCTGTGTACATTCATAGCTTGGCCTAGCAAGAAAATATTCATCGCTATGTAAAATCACCCCCAGGTTTGAGCTTTTTGCACATGAGACATAAAATATTAAAAGGCCCTTGCACTATATTATCGAATAAGTGATCAGTCGGGGGTAGGAAAATTCAGTGCAAATGAAAATGATGACGTCACCATAGCCTATGCCTGAATAAAATATTTTTCTTAATATAAAATATAAGCCACATTGCATTCGTTGTTCAATAATTCTGAACATATAAACTAGTAGTAACTGGCAAACAAAAAAACAAAGTCTTGTACTTTATATAAAAATGCCCTTCAGGATTCAACTTTAAAAAAAAGAACATTTAAGGGCATATAGAAAAATTTGTTAGATTATCACTCCCGCCCGCGTCAAAAATTTGAGAACCATTGATGTGGGAATTTTAAAAAAAATTTTTGCCGCATCATTTATTTCAACAGCTTAAAAAAAACATAAAATTTTGTGACTGGAAATACATTTTCTTTAAAAAAACAATAAAATTTAACCAGTTTTTATAAGATATTTACAATATTCTTGCCAAATAAATACAATCCCTCCCTTATCAATCAAAAAAAGCAATATTCTATTGTTCTGATTTAAAAGATAAAAAAAAAATCCCTGCCCACCCTCATCACTTTTTTAACAAAAAGAGTGATAATCTAACAATTTTTTCTATGTGCCCTAAATTTTTAGAAGTCAAATTTAATGAAAACTTTTTTGTTTTGATCTGTGATTTGTTGAATGTTGATAGCTTCTTTTAAATGAGTACTTCAAATTTTATTAAAATTTTTGATGATTTTTCTTTGATTTTTTGAGGCAATATATTTGTATTGTCTCTTGCCACCAACCCGAGGCTTATAACTTGTGCATGCACATCTGGGGCTTACCCTCAATATTATGCAATTGGTATTCTGCAACCATTGTTGAAAACTTTCATTTTTAAAACCTGATGATGGTTTTTTTTTTATATATGTGATAAAATTGACTGTTGTTGTTTCATTCATTACAGATATGCAGTTGAGAAGGGTTATTGGAAAGATCCGTATATTAACTTATTGGTGAAGCTAGGAGAAAGAAGAGCACCTGAAATAAGCAGAGGTATTTAACTTGAGCAGTGGCAGATCCAGAATTTGTTTTGCAAGTTTGGTGTGAGTGGCAAATTGAGAACCTAAGGATTGAAAGGGGCTAGGGAGCAGGGCTAGGGAGAAAACCTATGATCAAGAACAGAAGGTTTTGCCCTGCCTTTCATAGGGTCCAAGGGATATACTCCTAGAAGCTTTACGGTTTCAGCCAAAAAACTCTTTTTTTTTTTTGCTGCTGCTGGAGAAAAAGTGGAGGGGAGGGCGTCAAGCACACATTTTGTCATTCGAGGATTTGGAAGCAGGGTATAGGGTGTTCTAAAATCCTCTACCTGAGTCAAGTGGTGCAAGAGTGAAGGTGTAGTTGGATTTGATTTCACATACCCCCTGATACCTAGAAGAACTGGATAATTTTAGGCCATTTTAATCTATTACGATATGTGTTCCTTAACAATACTTTCTATACTGTAAGTTGCAACCCAAACTCCAGCTGCCAACATTTTCCATGTTGGTTGCGAAAAAAAAATCACAATAATATTTGAGTACCATTTCTAGCCATCTAGCGATCTCATACTTACAAAGTTTTAGACCACTTTTTCAGAATGGTAGAAAGTGACAGGCA